TTTATTCTTTTACTGGTAACATGTATTTGAAGATGCTGTTAAATAATTTGTGTCCTTATTCTTTTGGCAGAAAGGCCACTTAGGCAGGATGCTGCTTTGTTTTGTGTGCATTTACAGGAATACAAATATGCAGTGAAAGGCATTTGTTGATTTAGAGTATGTGTTGATATAATTGCTGCATTGCTTTATAGTTCTGTGTGTGCTCATTCATAGGTTTCAGTAGTAACTTTAAATACCAGTTCCTGCCATCATAAAAAAATACACAGCATTTATTGAAATGGTGTTGTTTTGCAGTTCTGGAAGTTCCAGTGATTTTTTTTTGCCAATTTCCAGACAAGTTGGGAAGGTTTTTGGTTTTTTGTGGGGTTTTTTTTGTTCCTTTTAAAATGGACACTACTTAGCCTGTTCTGTTTAGCTGTTTCTTTGAAATTTATTTAGTGCACACTGTTCACATTCAATATTCCTTACTACAAGCTTTTTTCTTTTTAAGTTAGGATGGCTTTTTCATTCCTACTTCATCTACCATTCTTTCAGCACAGACAGAAATGTTGCAGAACTTAGTTATGCAAGGAGTGGCAATTTCACTGACATGAGTACAACTTGGAGTTGATTTTACTCTTCCTTGGACAGCTTTGAAAGTAATCTGTTTGTGAAATAGTTAGAGGTGCTTTAAGGTTAATCTGAACTGCTTTTTCAATTAAAAGAGACCATTTGTACCTGAGTACCTGTGTTCTCATTAGGAAGACAACATTCATTGAAACTTCATATTTTATATAGTACCAAAAGGTCAATTTCTGGGAGGCTTGGGAAAGTTTAGGTAGAAACTAGGTTGCCAGAGACTCAATACCTGCTGGATACTCAGCAAAAATCGAGGGAGGGATGTGAACATTTCGCTCTTGTTGCATTGTACATATGTATATCTTGTACATATTTGTTCATTAGGAACAATTCAGTATATGTTATTGTAGTTTTCCCTTTTTGTCGTTTTTTGTAATGGAGGAATACTGTGCTTAGAAGTGTGTGTCTGAAAGTTGTGCATTGTTCTGTCTTCTTGTGATGCCTTGTGCTGTTCCCCAGCTGGGACCTGGAGTGTGTAGGAACCTGCAGGGTAGGACAACAGGCAGCTGCTACTGCTTGTAGTGAGTCTCACGATATTTGATAGTGCTTCTTGGAGTCATGCAGAAGCCCAAGTGTCTCAGCTCTTCTAATAAATAAATAAATAAGCAGAAAACCCAACAGCTACTTCTATGGTTTTGTATACAGGACAGTAAAGGGAAAAAGTGAAGGGAGCCTGATGGTAAGCAAATCCAAACCTTTAAACAGGCAAACAAAACTGAACTGAAGCTCGTGAGCTCATAAATCAGCATCAGAAACTTTGATTATTTGTTTGACTCAAGATTTTTGAGCGTTTGCAGGTGGAATACTGTTGGCACTTTGTTATGTTTGGACTTTTGTGTTGTAATGACTTCATGGCCCTTAGACTAACTTGTTAGTGATTTTAAGTAGTTTCGTGTAAATATACACAGTGAATTGTGTATTAAAGATATAAAAAATATTCAAGCACTATTATCACTTCAGTTCTGCTCTCTACATTGCTGATTAACTGAGAGATTGGAATTAAAATTATTTTAAAATTAGAGTTAGACATAGTTTATTAAATATAGTGGTTTATTTCCTCCATTACGGTTCAAAGATTTCCTTATACTCAAAGTGCTGTCATTTACAGTGTAAGAACTGCTGACTTATTGTCCTTCTAAATAATTGAAAAGAAATCACATTTCCATTGCTGTTATTTAGTGAGTTTTTGTTTGGCTTTGTGTTTTTAATTTGCTGGGTTCCGAACATAAATACAAGACACTTTTAGATGTTAAAAATACTCAGAATCTATGTTCTGTGTAGATCCTAATGCTTTTTGGAAGCCTGCAGCAGTTCTTCTGAATCTGAAAAGCATTTTTATTTTTCATTCTGTTTCTGCCTGAGAAGGAGCTGTAGTTATGACTTTTCAGGTGGCATGGTAAGGCATTTTCAGGACATGGACTTTTTTGAGGACACATGAAAAAAGTGCACATTTTTATAGCCTTTCAGACTAGATACATAGAAATCCAGGATAATAAGTGGCATAAGGTGGTAGCACACAATGAGAGGTTGTACTTTTTTTTTTTTTAAAGAGGTGGATAGCCGTCTTTTTGGCCTGAACTGAGTAACCTAATTAATATGATGCTTACTGTTTGTCTTTTAACTTAATTCCTAGCTGAAAGTGAACTTATTTTTAGCACTTCTACTGAATAAAGACCAGGATACTGATGTGAAGTCTTTCGAGTTCTTATTTATATGATGTATGGCTTAGTTTTGGTGTTATCTTTCTTCAAAAAGAGAATGTGGTCACACACCATAGTGCATCATAATCCAGATAGTTACTCTGCTTGCACGCAGCAGGGTCACTTTTGGTTTTGAAAGGAGTCCTTACACTGCTAGCCCAATTCGGTCAGAGAAAGATGATGTTCCTTTCAAGGGGTTTTTAAAGAACAGTTTGTGCCCCATTTCTTTCTACACGAAGTTTTTTTGTTAATTGCTTGGTTTTGTTTGGAAATACCAGAAATGAAGTCTCCCTGTCAACACTTTTAAAAGTTGCGTACATCCTACAAAGGTCCTTAGATGAAAATTATCTGGTTTTATGAAAGACAAACTCTGCTGTAGTCCAGTTTGCGTAAGCTGCTAATAGTCTTGAATTATAAGATCTTTGTGGCCAGAGGCTTTGTTTTATTTACTTTCTAATACAATCAGAAAGCTAGTCAGATTTGTTAGTGGTGTGCATTCTTACAGTAGGCAGGTGAATTTTCTTGGGTTTACAGCAATACCTCGATAAGGCATCAAATCTCCATAAAGTTTTCTTTGTTGCTTGATTGAAGAAGTTCATGGTATTTAAAGATTTAAGTAAATGAAATAATTAGATAATAAATTAGGTAAATAGAAATGACAGTAGTTAAAAGAGGAAGATATTTTTTAAACCAGCAATCATAAACCCCCCTCACTTCTCACTTGCTCAGCATTGTTCTTATGTTTTCTCATAAATTCAGCATTGCTTCACTTCTCCATGCAATTTTAAAATTCAAAATATGTGCATTTCTAAATTTGAAGGAAAGACACATCAGAACGTTAAAAAAAAAATCTTTGAGGCTTTCTTCATAAATCATGAAGAAAATAGGTACAACCATCTCCTATTTCTTCTATTATCTAATAATTGTTAAAATTTGTTAAATACATAATTCAGTGTATTTGGCTGTTACAGTATTAATTTTGATAAAATAATTTAGACTCAGTACACCGATAAATCCTGATAAAAGTCTGCTAGCTTTAGAGAGATCTTTTGATTTCATATTGAAGATAGTTGTTGTCTTGTTCTGAAGAAAGAGAAACATTAAGGTGGAATAATTGTCATGTGCTGGAACTGATATTGCTTGTAAAGTTCAAGCCTGCTTCCTAGAAGGCAAAACTGATTGGGAGCAAATGAAAAGAAAAGATAGTAAAAATCGAAAAAGCAATTTCTGCTCCTGAGTTTTACTCTAATCATACAGTATGTGGTCTTTATTGGCTCTTGTGAGGCCTGTCAAACTTGTAGTTCTGTTGAGCTGTTTTGTGTCTTAGATGACAATCGCTTTTAGCGGTTTCAAGTCATGGGCGCACAGTATTGTGACCAAAGGTGCAATCTGTTCTTAATCATAAAAAATGAGGAATCGGGGAAAGAAGACATTAAGTGGGAAAGCTACAAAGAAACCAAACAATGGAGGTGAAGATAGGGACTCAGGTCTTCTGTTTCATTTGAAAATCAGGATTAAGATAGAGTTGTGCAGAGATGAGTATTGTTTGTTTTAGCCGATTTTAGCAAGGTTCTGATTAACTAATGATAACCTGTGATATCTTAGTAGATTGTTAGGTTCCAGAAGCTTGGGAGAAGAAGGAAGCAGGAAATGGATAGCTATAGTAGTGTTGGCTTTCCTTTTAGGTCATGTATTGTCCTCATGCAGATTCTATTTCTCTTTCACATTCAAAAACTAGTAAAAGGTAGACTAAGCTGCACACCTGTGATTTTTACCTGTTGAATAGACCTAGCTGCCAATATGATGTTTATGGCTTATTAATTTCTAATTTTATGTTAGGCTGTTTTTAGCAGATTTGGTCTTAGTCCAGTCCATGGTTTATGTACATATGCTTTCTTATTGTTCTCCTTGTTTTCATCTTCATCATTTTTTTTTTAACCCTAACATTTTTATATAATTAACACATAGTTTTAGTTTTTAACATAACTACATCAATATTGGTGCTTCCAGTAATAAAACTGTATTGGAATAAAAACACACCAGTGCAAAATAACAACTTCTGTGTAGTAGAAAATACAAATCTGAAAAAGTTTTTAGTTTAGACTAAACTAGTTTAGCTATCTAGTTTTCACAAACTTTCCTCAGTGTGTTTTTAAAGAACAGTGTTTTCTTGCTCTCACTTGAGAATTTTTTCAGAAGCTTTTGTATAATGTAGGTTAGCTAAGTGTATGTTGGAAGACTGATTTACTGTCTATGTTGAAATAAAATCTAAGAGCTGCATATGGTAAAACTTAATGTTGAAGCATGTATTCCAGGCTTAATGTTTGTTAATAGAAATTGTGTCCTGCTGGTAGAATTACCAGTAATTGATATAGCAAAAGGCAGCCTTGTTTGAATAACGTAGATTTCTGCTGCCTTATGTCACGTTGCATGCTCTTTTATTGTTGATTGTAGGTCTTTGTCTTCCTTCAAAATTCTGTATGGTTAAAACTTTGTTTATTCAAGAGAACTGTTTGCTGTGGGTTTTTTTATTCACTGGACAGTGAGTAACTTGTAGGCAATTCTCACTAAAATAGGTTTTTTTGTAATTGTCTTTTGAATATGTGCAGTATAACTTTTTCGTCTATAAAAGGCGTAGCATACATTTAATATATTTTTGTCTTTTTTTCCCCTGTTTCTAAGGCTGATAAAGAATTTGTGTGGTCTCTGTGGAAACGTCTCCAAGTGTCAAGTCCAGATCTTACTGAAGTTGTCAGCTTGGTTGTGGAAAGGTGAGTTTAAAGATTTAACATGATACTAAAAACAAAACAAAAAAACCCTGCTGATACCATATTCTTTATCTTTTTAATTGAGAACTATGTAGGATTTAAAAAATGTATTACAAATATTCCGTTGTTAAATTTTGTCAAGAGTATCTGGAATATGTTACAAGTTTCCTTTTTTGGTATAAGTTGAAGTATACCTCAAAATCTGTTTTCACTGAGGTTGCTGTGCTGCAGTTGAATTCAATTTTTAAATTATAAATGTACTGCATATTCTATTTTTCTATTGAAAGAGCAAGAGGAGGTAAATGACATTTTCTGGTGTCATAAGTGGTTGGATAACAGTTACATATGCAAATTATGTTTATCTACATTCTTAAAGAAGTGAAAGGCTAAGATATAGTAAGAGAAGCGATGACTATGCAGTTTAATTATTACTCCTCTGAGGATATGAATGATGACGATTTCCTCATCTTCATACTTACATATTATTATCTGATTGCTGTAAATGTTAGTTAATCATCACAGTATGTGATTGTTTGTTTTAGAATGCTAATGTTTACAAATTCAGAATTTTTGTAGGCCAAAGATAGGGAGAAGGTGAATGAGTTGGTAATGTGGCTGTCAGAATTGAAACACTTGATTCTCTTGTGGTCAAAAGATTTGTCTGTTCTGTCCCTCAGGGTGCCATGAGTTCCCTTTTTTAAAATGAAAAAGTGGGCTTTTTTTAAAAAGAAAAAAAATGGATTTTAACTTCTTTAAATGGCTTGCCAGCATTACTTGGGAAGCTTGTCATAGGGCCAGGAGGGGTAGCTCCTTTGGGTTCCTGTTCAGTGCTTTGATCTTGAAAGGCATGTTTTGTTTGTTCACATCTTTCCTTTCTGGACTTCATCAGTAAACGTTCTTCCACTTCTGAAAATATAACATTAAGTTCTTTAGCTGGGTGTGTATTCACTATAGTGTTGTCCCATCTTCTGCATTGCATAAAGCAATGAAAATTTTGTCCAAAAATGTGGTGTCATCATGTAACTAGAGCTAATGAACTAAAGAATTCATATCCAGGGGAAGAAATTAATGGTGTTTTTTAAACAGCCTGTTTTTTAGATAGGCTTAAACCAGCTTGTTTTGAGACAGCTGTTACCTGAGGGTTCGCGTGTGGTCACCAACGATGGTGTCAAACAACTTCTCCGTCTGTACTGCGACACTTACCTGCAGAGAGAAGTCGCTTGGCTGTTAGGACAGTGTACTGCTTTCACATTGCTTGGATGTTTTGATTTGGGAAGTAATTTTAATATATGAGGAAGACTTAGGAACAAATTTACAGCGTCCTTCATTTAGGTTGAAAAGCAGATTCTTACTGACTTATTTCATGATAAAATTTGGTCATCTTCATGAGGACGGTGGTGGTAGTATCGATCTTCCTTCTTCAAACATTAAAAAAAAATATGCAAGAACTGCTTAAAATATATAAATATAGTATTTAATGTATGTAAACATATATTACCTGTATATAAGCAGAAGTACATTGAAAACATTGAAAAATTGTTTTGCTGTAACCACATTTTATAGATAGCTGAACAATATGGAAAACTTCAGCTCATTTACATGAAGCTTAATAAGGTAGATACAGAGATATTCGGGCTTATATTAACATTTTTGATTCGTGTTGCATATGAAAAATAATCAGGATATTAGGACAAATTGAAGCATAGAGGTGTTAAAAAGCATGCATTTAAACAATGTTGAATACAGTGAATTATTTGGAGTTCTTGAATTGTATACCTGTATAGGATACAATCTGTCTTCCTTGTTTATCCTTCTTCATGTCTACGAATATTTTTATGCTTGGTAGTTATCCCTTGCTTTAAATGATTTTATACTTTATTTAGAACAGAAATTGATAATTATGTGTGCATTATCCTGACTGATATAATGAACATGGGGCTCTTAGATGCCACCTTGATGCCCACAAGCATGATAATGACCTGAATTTTTTTACAATGGTAGGAAATATTTGTGAAAATCTTTTAATGTAATGTTCAGACTATCAGAAGACTTGCTACAGAAATCTGGTGTATAATAATACTCTATTATATATGACGGTAAAGATATATGCTGTGTATGTGTTTTGTACTTTATGTAGAGGCTGGTGATTGGTACTCTTATGTGAAATTGTGACAACATACTTCTATTAAGGTGCTTGTCTAGTTTTTTTATGTCCTCTCTTCTTTCAGAATAACACTAATACTTTAGAACACCTCTCGTGAACTCGAGGCTATACATCTATATCATACCTTTCCCATGATTCTCAGAGTCATGGAATTAAGAAAGAAGAAATTGCTTCTGGAGCATCTTTTCAGGTGTTGTTATTACCCCAGAGAATCCTGGAATAGGCTTGGATAACACCCATTTAGCATATAGGAGTTTTAATCATGGCTTTGAACTTTGGGGTTGCTTTGTTTGGATAGATGGAGCAATAGTGTGTATTTTTCCTCTTTAATTGTTGTAGCTTCATCTCTTTTGCCTGAGAATGGTCTAATTGCTGTTTTGGCAATAATTTCTAGCCCAGCTTTACCTGTGAATCTTCTGCACAACCAAGTTACAGCCCCATTTATTCTTTCCTAACTTTTCCAGCTATAACTTTCCATAATCTTTTCCTAAGTAGCTTCTATTTCATGACTGTACCTCTTCACACTCTCATCCTTTCAGAAGAGATTTTGTCTTATTCCCTGCTTTATAGCAGTACTTTTTTTTTTTTTTTTTAAATATCGCTACAGTGTCAGTTTATCTCAGTTCCAATACATTGATTAGATTTCCAGGGAATCTGCTACCTAGCACTGCTGCTGTCCAGAAAACTACAGGACAAGTGATTTTCTGGCTTTGTTAATCTAGGAAAAATATGTGGATTTAAAGGGTAAAGAGATGGGATTACCAAGTAACAGTTATAAGCGAAATGATTCCTGAAGCTTGTCATTTGGCAGATCTGTGCTGCTCACAGCCTGTTTTTCTATATACCACACAGTTGTATCAAGAGCTGAAAATTGAAAACTTACACTGAAATCTGGTAGAAAACAGCTTGAGTCTTCTTACACTTTTTTCGCTTCTCATCTATATGAGGAACAAGATTGACCCAGTCCTATCCAAGTTGATAATGTTTTCCATCCTGCCTTGGCTTACTAGGAGATTTTGAGATAGATGGAAAAAGAATGAAATGGATTTAAACCATTTGTTGTTTCTGCTTGGGACTGTGTGACATGGATGCCACCAATGTTTACCTGGTTTCATTTTTTCAGTGTGTTCTTTCCACCAAAAATTCCATAACTGAGAAACTTTCAGTACCCACCAAGTCTTTGTAATAGACTACCTGAGGTCAGAAGCCCGCTACCTAATGGAAGCAGACAGAATCGAAGAAAGCATAGTTATGTGTATCCTAGATCATATACATAATGAACTAAACAATATTGTCCACTAGATTTCAGTCTTTAAATTGATGAAAGCAACAGCCAGACTTTCTCTGGGAGATTACAGTGACAGGAATAAAAACATGCAAGTGTGAAAGGACCAAATGTTCACTTACAACCTTGTACACCATGGATGTGTGGTGAAGAAAAAAGAAAAAAATATATTAGCAGAAATTAAGTGGGCAGTACTAGCCATACGGTCAGGTAATTTATATTTGTAGCATTAATTTATATTTGTAGCATTAGACATTTCCTTATAGTATCTTTTTCTCAAATAAGCCAGGAAAATGTGAAAGGCATAATTTGAGGGTCATAGGGGGAAATTAATAGTAGGTTTCCATTATTTGTCTGCTATTTTGAAGTGCTTTCATGGTCCCAAAATAGAAGTTCGCCTGCCCTAAAATTGTAAAAATGTAGCTGGTACCTTTTTATGGCTGTGCTGTTGATTCCTGTAATACACCAATGATATTTTACTTTTCAGCAGTCTTTGCAGTTCTTGCTGGATAACTGTAACTATATTCCCATTTTAATATTCAGATATAAACAAAAAATTATCTTTACTGTGCAAATGAGAAATGCCTTTGGGATATGTAAAAGCCTCCGGGTATTTTCAAACAAGCCATTGTAAAAGTACTACTCATGTTAGTGTACTTTCCAGCTACTTTAAATACTATTGATCTCAGTATTATGTAAAGAGTATGCTATTTCTAGTTCACTGCCTTTTGAAACATTCTTTTTTTTTTTTTTTTGATGATGATGAGTTGGAAAAAAAAAAGTGCTAGAAAGTACCTTTTACAGGTAAATGCATGTGTAAACTCAAATAGAGTTGCGTATCAGATGGGAGTATCAAAGGTTTGGAAATATTTTTGTAAACTTTGAGAGCTCTCCTTTAATACTTTTGTCTTATAATACATGAAATCTTGAGAGGTCAACTGACTCTAATTTTCCTCTAGGGCTTCTAGCTGACTCCTTTCTTCTGGAAGGGAGATGTAGCAGGATCCATTAATGATCAAACTGTGGCAGTGATACAAGACTTGGTAGATGCACATGGGGATTGTATTATGCTAGATGATACCCTTGCAGATAGTTACATTTGGCAAGCTTGCCTTACGTAGATGTTTTTCCACACCTAAATTCCAAGTGTGCTGTGTGTTGCAATCTTAACAAAGAGCAAGAACGGATTTATCATTTCGGGCCACTCTGAGAAACAGTGGCAACCTAAATGTTAGTGTCAGTGATTAAGAGAGAGTTTTGTTGTTGTTCTTGGGGAGTTACATCTGTCTAAAGGCGTACAAAAGGAGAACATGGCTGAAGAGCAAGCGATCAGAAATAACCAAAGAATTTTTGGAAAGGTAATCACAGGAACTTAACACTGTGGTTTGCTGTATCCTGTGAATAGCAAATTGTGGTAGATTCCTCACTGACTGATGATGTGCAGATGAACTGAAAATGACACGTACTTTTTATGTAAAAAGGTAAGTGAATGTGCTGTACGAATGAGCAATATAGATTGCTGATGTTAATTGAAAAATAATTAAAAAAACCTGT